TTGCTATAGAGCTCTCTAAATATACAGCCTCTGCATGTTCTCATTTGGGTAGTCTTCAGCTCTTTCTGATGGGGCACTGGTGGGAACAGTGCCTCGTGACAGCCCTCTGAGTGGGGCACCTGGCCCTGTGGCAAAACAATGGAGTCCTCACTGGGACATCCCATGGTCTGTCTGACCCTCTGACCCTCCAGAGCCACCTAGCAGGCTATAATAAATTCCTTTCTGCTTCCTTCAGCTAGAGGGCACTCTGGGGCTCACAGTAGAGAATGCTAAGTGATTAAATTGTAATATACAAAAATATCTGCCTTTAGGGACAGTCATCTGACATCCCTCTTTTTGTAGGGATAGATGAGGCAAAGCACTGAAGATAGCAGGAAAGAGTTTTATTTGGCGGCAGCCAGGTTTAGAGGGCACAGCTTTTGCTGTGATCAATCAATCCTCTCAACCCCGAGTTCAGGTAGTTTCAGAGTTTTATACCCAGTATGTAAGGGGAGGGGCTCAGAAGTTCACAGTCTGCAGAAGTTCACATAAAAGCAGCTTTTTCTTTCACTGTTTTAGGCAAGTTAACCCTTCAAGGGCAACACCCGAGAAGGGGAGGGCTTCTTCTCCCCTTTTTCTCTTCCCCCTGCCAGCTGTTACCATGGAGCCCAATTGGTAACTTCTCTTATCTTAAAAATGTAGAGATCACTATGAAGCCCCAGCTCAAGACCAGAGGCCTTGCTTGTACATTTCTACAAACTACTATACTGGATACGTTTGTGAAAAACTAGTAAAGGGGTGTCCAGCATCTGGAGTGCTGGTATCTTCCCAGCCAGTGGCCAAGTAAAACAGGGCAACTGAAAATAGGAAGTTTATCTATATTGAACTCTTTTGCAGAGACCCTTTTGCTGACAGTCCCCAAATCAGCCATGATGAAGATTTCTGGAGAAAATCCAGTTAAGACTTTTCTGTGGAGAAAAGGGGTGCCATTACGCTCTGAGGTGTGGGTAATGGGACAACAGGACAGCAGAATAGGTGTATACAGGGGAGGCTGTTGGCCAGTGCTCTGATCAGGCACTGTGCTGGGAGTCTGACCTGAACAACAGCTGCCTGAGGCCTGTCTGATTGCCTCCAGGCTTCCCTTAAGGTAGACTGGAAGTGTCAGGTAGTTTATGACCCCTGGGAGCAGCCTTCAATCAAGGGCAGACATGCATAGATGAAAAATCCTCCCAGCTTGCTCTTCTCACTGCTTCTCACTTGGGACAATTCCAAGGTGCCCGGTCTACCTTTTCCTCCATAATTTTCCAGAAGGACTAGTCTGCTATGCCTTTTATTGGTGTCCTTACATAAGCCACATTTCCACTCCCCAATCTTATCCAGGAAGGAACTACTCACAATTAGATTCTTCTCTCAGGATATGCTTCTGGAGATTCAAAATCTTTACAGGTTTACTTGATTACTTTAGTCATGTCAGTTCTCATCTTTCTTAGTAATTCTCCCTCATTTTAAGTGCTCGTGATATTTAATAAATATTTTTAACAAATGAGTCATGCTATACACTAAGATTATGCCCAATTTTCCAGCAAATGACATTTGCAGCTGACATTATTTCTCAACTCCTGGATCCAACCTTTTCTTTCTCCCACCACCAGATTAAGAAATAGCATGAGGGCTGGGGTTGTGGCTCAGAGGTAGAGTGCTCGCCTAGCATGCGTGAGGCACTGGGTTTGATCCTCAGCACCACATAAAGTAAAATAAAGACATTGTGTCCACCTATAACTAAAAAATAAATATTTTTTTTAAAAAGACATAGCATGAAAGTCACTACTGAGACAATCAGGCATTATGAATTCATATCTTCTGGAGCCGGGTAGGTAATATTTTTGTACAAAGTGGCACACATCAGGCAACAGGGAGGATGGAGCCTGGGGTAGCCTGAGAAGTGTTCGAGCACAATTTCTTAAAAAAACCACTTTTCTGAAGAACTGAGATTGTCCTGGTGGTTCATTAGATTTCAACATCCATTTTTAGCTCCTTTGTACATGATTCCCTTCTCTTCTATTGGTTGGGTATTCCCAAGGGCCACATTTAAAACTTTTTTCTTTCATGGCCTTGGACACAGAGCACTCAACAGGAATTGATAATGCCTCTGGAACTGCCATTTTAAGTATATTTTTCTCTTCTCAAGCAAGCAGATTTGCTCCAAGAGTCAAAAACATTGTGTGAATGTGTCCATTATTATCTCCTATTATTCATTGCCCCCTTATAAAAGACCCAGCCAGCCCTGTGTGCACACCAGTGTGGTTGAGGAATAGACATAGTGTGACCAACTATTTTGATCTTCCAGAAATGAGGCACTCTGGGAGGGGTGGGGCTTTCAGTGCTATAAGCAGGAAAGGTTCTGAGCAAACCAGGAGGCCTTGTTCACCTCAGCATCCACAAGCATGCTGCATGCCTTAGCCCTTAAAGGTGACCACAACCAACTACACCATAGCAGAAAAAGAGAGGCCAAATCCTTAACTAGACCCAGCTGATCAGATTCTTTCCAGAGTTAGGGAGAAACAGGGAATTAATCAAAATATAATGGACCCTTTAATAAAATGTCAGGTTTATCCAGGGCAATTGGTCCTGTGATACATAAAAATGGACTGCAATCATGAAGGAACAGAAAGAACTCATTTTTAAAGAGAGAGAGAAAGGAAAATAAAGCTGGAGCTCAGTGGCAGAATGAAAAAAAAAACAGGATCTCATAACCAACATTACACTCAGTGGTAAAAAAAAAAAAGTGGATTGTTTTCCTCACTAAGATCAAGAATAAGACAAAGTTTCTGCTTGCCACTTCTATTCAGTATTGTGATGGAGATTCTAGCCTAGAATACAAGGAAAATACATGAGTCATCCAAATTTTGGAAACAAAAAAATAAAACTATCTCTATTCACAGATGATGAGACATTATATACAAAATAAAGGACTTCACAAAAGAAACATTAGAACTAATACACAAAGTCAGCAAAGTAGCAGGATACAAGAGCAATATTTTAAAAAATCACTTATATTCCCAAACATAAACAATGGAAATAAAGTTCCATTTGTGATACTATTTTTAAAAATTAAATAGGAATAAAGTTAACAAAAGTACAAGATTCAGACACTGAAAACTACAAAATATTGTTGAAAGAAATCAAAGAAGAATGAGGTGTGGTGGTGCATACCTGTAAATTCCAGGTGTTCAGGAAGCTGAGGAGGGAGGATCCCAAGTTCCAGGTTAGGCTAGGCAACTTAGCAAAACCTCGGGTCAAAATAAAAAGGTTCAGCAATGTAACTAAGGGATAGAGTATCCCAGGGTCAATCCCCAGTACTGGAGGAGAGGGGAGGGCAATCAAAGAATAACTAACTAAATAAAAAGACATCATGCATTTATGTTTTGGAAGACTTACATTGTGACTATGGTAATATTCTCCAAAATTAATCCAGAACTCCAACGCAGTCCTCATCAAAATCCCATTTGGCTTCCCTACAAAAGATTGACAAAATGATTCAGAATAGCCTAATCAATCTTAGAAAAAAACAAAGTTGGAAGAATCATGTTTTCCAACTTCAAAATTTATGCTGAATTTGGTGACACACACCTGTAATCCCAGCAACTCAGGTGGTTGAGGGAGGAGGATCAATTTTAAGGCCAGCCTGGGCAACTAGGAAGACCCTATCTCAAAATAAAATATTAAAAATTGAGGATATACCTCAGTGGCAGAGTGCCCCTGGGTTCAATCATCAGTAGTAGGAGGAAAAAATTAGTATAAAGCCAAAGAAATCAAGACAGGGTGGTGCTTGCATAAGAACAGATACAATGAAAAATAAAACAAAATTAAGAGTCAAAACATCTTTTTCCCCTCATCCTCACCAACATTTATTGTTTCCTGTATTCTTGATGATTGCCATTCTGACAGGAGTGAGATGAAATCTTAAAGTAGTTTTGATTTGCATTTCTCTTAATGCTGGAGATGTTGAACACTTTTTCATATATTTATTGATTGTATTTCTTCTTCTGTGAAGTGTCTTTTCAATTCCTTAGCCCATTTACTGATTGGGTTATTTGTTTTCTTGGTGTTAAGTTTTTGAGCAAATTAGTGCAACTACTATGGAAAACAGTTTGACGATTCCTCAGAAAACTGGGAATGGAACCACCATTTGACCCAGCTATCCCACTTCTCAGTTTATACCCAAAGGACTTAAAATCAGTATACTTCAGTAGTGCAGCCATGTCAATGTTTATAGCAGCTCAATTCACAATAGCTAAACTATGGAACCAACCTAGGTGTCCTTCAATAGATGAATGGATAAAAAATATGGTATATATACTCAATGGAATATTATTCAGCTCTAAAGAAAAGTGAAATTATTAATTTACCAGTAAATAAATATAGTTGGAGAATATCACACTAAGTGAAATAAGTCAATCCCCAAAAACCAAAGGCCAAACGTTTTCTCTAATATGGAGGATGCTACTTCACAATAAAGTGGGGGACACTAGAGAAAAATACCATTACCTTAGATTAGGTAGAGGGAAGTTATGAGAGGGGAGGGGAGGAGATGTAGGGATAGGAAAGATAGCAGAATGAAACAGACATTATAACTTTATGTATATATGTGACTACGTTACCGATATGATTCTGCAACATGTACACTTAGAAAAATGAGAAATTATATCCCATCTATGTATAATATATCAAAGTGCATAAATGCATTCTACAGTCATGTATAACTAATTAAAACAAATTTAAAAATTAATAAAAAATCTTATCTTCACATTTCTTTTTTTTTTTCTGTTATATGGCTTACATTATTATCTTTCTGGGAAAAGGTAGGAAGGTAAGCTACTACTACCAAGCCTACAAAACACCATTTGACAATTACGATTCATGTTCTCTGGCACAAGAGGGGGAAAAAAGTCATTCTTGTAACACACTAATAATGCAAACTACATTATGCACAACTACTAACAGGTAGGCAAAAAGATCTATCACAATTCAAATGCAGCAGTCTATTCCAAAAGCATACAGTAGATTTTCTGCATTTTTCATTCAGGATAATACAATTGTCCAGTCGCTCTCTTCTCTTCCATACTGGATATCAGTCAATTTGCCCAAGATACGGGTTGCAAGCTTAGGACCATTCTCCATAGTTGGAATGTGTATCGTCTCGCCCTTGTATAGTATATCAGAAACTGGGCAGACAATGCAGGCTGTGCCAGAGCCAAACATCTCCCTCACTCTGTTCCCCTCCAGGGCAGTTGTCAAGTCGTCCATGGTGAGGTACCTCTCTGACACTTTAAATTCACCCCACTTGTGCGCCAGGTCCAGGATGCACCGCCTCGTCACTCCTGGAAGAATGATGCCATCTAGCGGAGGAGTTGCCAGTTCTTCCTCTCCATCTTCATTTATCCAGTAAAGAAAAAGATTCATAGTTCCGACTTCCGTTATCTGATTATCCTCTCCATAGAGCCAGAGAACCTGCTGACAACCATTCTCTGCTGCTTCACTTTGGGCAAAAAGAGATGACCCATAATTCCCTCCCATCTTGCAGTCTCCAGTCCCACCTTTCCAGGCTCTGACATACTTCGGGTTGGCCCACAGGGACACTGGATTAAAGGTTCCGCTTGAAAAATAAGGTCCCACTGGGCTTAAGATTACAAAGAGCAGGGCTTTGGTAGGCTTCTTGACTCCAAGAGAAGGCTCAGTTCCAATAAATGTGGGACGAATGTAGAGACTGGCAGAGGTGGAATAGGGCACCCATTCTTGATCCAACTGCACAAGCTGCTGAATACACTCCAGAAGCTCTTCCTTGTCAAACACCGGCAAAGTGGCTCTCATAGCAGACTTACACATTCTCTCCATGTTGAGTTCTGGCCGAAACAGTCGAATTTTATTATCTACTCCTCGAAATGCCTTTAAACCTTCAAATAATTCTACTGCATAATGCAAAGTCGATGATCCAGGATGCAGTGACAAGTTTTGAAAAGGCTTGATGTGAGGTTTCTCCCATCCAAACTCAGAGGACCACTCCACTGTCAACATGTGATCCGTAAACACAGTTCCAAAAACTAGAGTATTGGGATCTGGTTTTTCCTTCAAGATGGTGGCTGGTGTGATTATTAGATCTTTAGCCCTGAAAGTCTCCACCACCTCTTTTGATCCTCCTTCTCCAAGGTATTCAGCGGAGCATCCGTTACTGCAGTCCTGCGAGGCGAGGGCCGCGGCGGCGCAGCGATGGCTGGCCATCAGGAGACTGCAGGAGCGCGAGGCTGCGGAGGGCGGGGGTGGCCCCCCGAGAGCGGCTGGACCCCCTTATCTTCACATTTCTGATCATGGATTTTGTTCAAGAGTGCCGAGACCATTTGACGAAGAAAGAATAGCTTTTTCAACAAATGGCTTTAGAACAATTGGTTATTTACATGCAGAAGAATGAAGTTGGACCTCTGTTTCATAGCATATATAAAAATTAACTCAGAATGGATCATATGAGCTGGGGTTGTAGTTCAGTGAAAGAGTGCTTGCCTAGCATGTGCAAGGCCCTGGGTTCAATCTTTAGCAACACACACACACACAACACACACACACACACACACACACACAAATGGACCACAGACCTATATATAAGAATTAAAACTTAGATACTTAGACACTCACATGAAAACAAAGAATAAATCTTCACAATCTTGGATTAGATCATTATTTCTTATGAATAACACCAAAAATTCAAGTAATAAATGAAAAAATAAGGACTTTACCAAAATTTAAAATGTTCGTGCTTCAAAGAAAATCATCATGAAAATGAAAAGATTGATAAAACTATGGAATAAAAGAAAATATTTGCAAATCACAATATCTTTTTTTTTT